CGCACAATCCCTCTCATCTGTTCAGGCATTTTTGACAAATGAAAACCTAGCACAAACGTTTCCCCTTTTTGCCCGTCTGTGTCCGTCGTAATGAACATCTTCCTTATTCATGCTTTTGCGTCACCATTGACTTCACCCTCTTCATCTCGCCTATCGAGTCAATCGTAGTCTTCAGAGCCGGATACTTACTTCGGTGCAATAATCCTGGTGCCCCTCTGTAATGCGTCCACCCCACTTCTGATGAGCCCCACATCGTGAGACAGATGAGAGCTGTCATCTTGTTCGCTTCTGTGGCACCAATCTGCTGCCACCTGATTTGCTGTAAGCCTCACAGAAGCCCAATCTTCCTTAAATAAATCTTGGATCACATTACACACTTCTTCCAAGATTCCAAATCAGAAATACGACAAATAAGAGGAGTCAGAATACCCATGTTCCTTGTTAGGATCTGTGGCTCTTACTATATCTATTTACTAGTTATATAAAGCAGATGTATTAGCTTCCTATGGCTGCTGTAACAAATTACCGCAACCTGAGTTATGTAAAACAGCAAAAATATGCTTTCTTACAGTGTCAGAAATCACTTCCACTGAGTTTCCAAAAGTCAGCGTGTCCCCAGGGCTGGTTCCTTCTGAAGGCTCTGCTTTCTTCCCTTGCCTTTTGCAGTGTCCAGTGGCCGCCACATTCCGTGGTCTTGGATCTCTCCGTATCTCTTCAAAGAACATGGCTCCAACCTCTGCTACTGTCCTCCCACAGCCACCTTGTCTGACTGACTCCTCCTGGGTCCCTCTTACAAAAACAGATGTGTTTGCTTTGGGTGCACAAGATAATCCCCCACCCCCACATCCTGAATCACAGCTAGCGAGGCTTTTCAATTGTGGTAAATATGTAGGTAACAAATGAGTTTGCCATGCTGACATTCTTCACAGGAAACCATAGAAGGTGGCCGTCTAGCTATCTAGAAATGTGGCAGGGCACAGACAAAGAGAAAAACAACAACACTGGCCTGGTCTCCCTAACTCACAGATCAGAACAGAGGCAGCTTGTTGCTGCTGCTGGTAACCAGGGGTCAATGCCGCCGCCTCGCGATGCCCTCAGATTTGCAAGCATTTCAAGGTTATGGCCTTTTAGAAACGCACCACCATGCCTATTTTTCAAAGCACCTCTGGGTGGATTTAAATTGCCAACTTGGAAGTGTGACTCGGCACCTCCAGCTCCCTTGACAGAGGTCTCTCGGGATGGAAAGACAAACGAACAAAAGAAACCACTTAACCACAAACAGTTTCTGTAAGATCAAGCATTTTACGCATCATAGAATGATATCCATGTTTCAATGTTTTTTTAAATCTCTCTCCTATCAAGAACCAGATGATCTCAAACTGAATCAAAAAAAGGTAATCAAACACCAAAATGACAGAAGTGTTACAATGCTCTGACAAGGATTTTAGAGCCACCATGATTTTAAAAGGTTTCAACAAGCAATGACAAATGGACGTGCAACAAAAAATAAAAGATAGTCTCCGGAGAGAAACAGAAGATTTAACGAAGAACCGGATAGAAATCCGACGATGGCAAGGGCAAAGGAAACGCGTCTGAAAAGGAATGGCTAGTCTGAACAGTAAACAGAAATACCGTGCACTCATGACAATGAAGTGAGCCTCGGGAACCTGAGAGAGGATAACAACATTTCTAACCTTCGAACCATCAAAGGGTTGGAAAGAGGAGAGGGGGCAAGACGGAAAAAAGAGGACAAGACTTCAAGGAATGATGGCTGCAAAGTACACACATCTGGCGAGACGTCGCCTTGAGGAATCACGAAGCTGGGCAAAGCTCTAACAAGGTCAACTTCAAAGAAGTGTAGGCCAAGACAATGACAACATTTTGAAGGCAGGGAGGGAGACGTGACACCTTAGCTAGGGGTGGGGTAGGGGAGGTGCAATATAAATGGCAGCAGATTTCTTCTCATCAGAGACCACAGAGGACAGCGACAAAAGGGCACAATATGTTCCAAGTGTTTGGAAGAAAGGAACCGACAAGCCATGAAGAGCAGAATCCACAGAAAATCACCTTCATGAACGGAGAGGAAGGCAAGACCGTAGCAGATGAAGAGAAATTGAGAGACTATCACCAACAGACCCACTAAAAAATAATCCCTGAGGAATGCATTTCTCTAAGTAGGAAGGAAATCATAAAAGAAGGCTGGCTGTTGTTATTGGTGCCCTCGACTTGGTCCGGCCCCACAGCAATCCCATGCACAACCGAAGGAAACACTGCCCCAGTCCGGCACCATCCTCACAGTCATTCTTACACTTGAACCCATCGTTACCACCGTGTGCCCACCGCCCTCCTTGAGGGCCTTCCTCTGTTTTCCTCTCCTCTGCTTTACCAAGCACACCGCTCTTCTCCAGGGACTGGTCTTTCCCGACAGCCTGTTGAAAGTAACTGGAGGCGAAATCTCATCATCGTTCCTTCTAAGGAACATTCCGGACGTACTTCTTCCAAGTCAGGTGTTTGTTCTGTCGGCAGTCAGTCGTCCTTTCAATATTCCTCGCCAGCACCGCCGTTCAAATGCATCAGTTCTCCGTCAAGGTCTAACTTTTACGTGCATTATGAGGAAACTGAAAATAGCATGGCTTAGGTCAGGCACACCTTAGTTCTCAAAGTAACAGCCTTGCTTTTCAATACTCTAAAGAGGACTTGTGCAGCAGATTTACCTAATGCAATGCATCTTTTGACCTCTTGACTGCTGCTTCCATGACCATTGATCGTGGAGCCAAGCAAGACAAAATCCTTGACAACTTCAATCTTTTCTCCATTTATCGTGTTACTACCTTCTGGTTCAGTTGTGAGGATTTTGGTTTTCTTTACATTGAGTTACAATCATTCTTAAGGTTGTAATCCTTGATTTTCATCAGCAAGTGCCTCAAGTCCTCCTCACTTTCAGCAAGCAAGGTTGTGTGATCTGCATATGGCAAGCTATTAATAAGCCTTCCTCTACTCCGGATGCCATATTCTTAACCAAAGAGCCCAGCTTCTCTGATTATCTGCTCCGCATACAGAATGATTAATGAGATCAGAGGATACGCTGGGAGTCAGAGCCCCTCTATCATGAAGGCTGGAGCAGCACAGGCATTTTCCGCGCGCGCGAGCAGGACATGAAATACTGTAAAGATAAAATGGTACAACAGGACCTACATGGCAAAGAACTTGCTTTCAGGAAGGTTCTAACCTCGGCATCAACAGTGACCTCCCTTAATGCTTTCATTATACAGGCCACTCCTGCATCTCCGTTTTCCCAAATACTTGGGAAACTATGGTCTTGACTAAAATATGACCTAATCTACAATAAAAAAAGAACACACATTCCCCACCCCACCCCCAACAGAATGCATTTGCTCCTTCCCCCCTCCCCCATCATGTCCTCTATTGTTTTGAGACACTGCATAGCAGAGGCACAGAAGGGAGCCAGGAGCAGGGCGGAGACATGGGGAAGGCTTGTGCTACCGGCTGCCCTCAGAGAACAGGGAAGCTTGAACCGCAGTACTTTCAGAGTTACAAGACCTCCTCACCCTTGCAAGCTGCATCCAGCATAGTGCCCGGAGCCGGGGGTGAGTTTTTAATACATACTGAAAGAGCATTCATCAAAATAATGACATTAAGAGACTGGCTTAAAGAATCTGTTTTTAGAATCCTTTCTCCCCACCACCCCCCACTCCAAACCCTAAGCCATCCTTTTGATGTTAGTCTACACTAAGTCAGTTTACTAGAATCTAGAACCGAGGCTGGAGCTAAAGAGGTGAGCTGGAAGGCTGACAGAACACCCAGCCACCAGGAACCACCAAGTTCCACACTATCGTCACAGAGAGTGCAAGACAGAGGGAACACTGACTGTGGTCTGAAAAGGAATAAACTCATCATTTTATTTGTGCCTCATAGGCCCAAACCCCAGGAACCTGCTTCTCCCTCACACTGCTGCCTCATTTGTCTACGCTAAGGTAGGAAAGCTGCACGTTTCCCAGAACAACTTCTTATTCCCTGTAAGCAACTCAACTAAGTCATTCCTCAGCAAGTGCCAATTCCCTGAACCATTTCAGATGCTAAGATGAACCGGTCCTTCCGAGGCAGTCATGGCCTAGCTGTGTCCCATTAGGCTAAGATGGTTTAAACTAGAAAGGAAATAATTATATAAAAGAACACAGTTCAAAATACAGACCTCCAAGCATGGAAAAAAAAAAGAAGTTTCCATGTATGTTTCAAAGGAGGCCTCATTCATAAAACCCAGACTTGTATCTAGAGCCGTTCATACTAATTTACAATAAGCAGTTTGGGGAATGAATACGTTGGTGATCATCTCTAACATCTCGAGGGGATACCTGTGGACTGGAAAGGCCGCACAGCCCCAGTCTCTCCACCTAGCAGGCTGCAGGAGATGGAGGGGTCCGACACACAGTTCACAAATGAGCAAGGGAACAAATGAACGAGTGAATGGTCACAAGGCTGGTTAGTCGCAGGGGCAGAATTAAAACCCACTTTCCCCCGTTTCCTCCTTGGGAGCCTTTTGCGACACGTTCACAAGGTGCAGCTACACGAGCAGTTCAGTCAGTTGTCAGGAAGCTGCCACCTTACAGAAGCCGCTGGCTGACCTCAGTTGCAGGGCTTTTTGGGTATGACCCCCTGCTGCCGCCCCAGCTTTTAGACATGCAAACAAAAGAATGAGAAGTGCCAAGTGGGATGACATGAGAAAATTGCACTGTCGCCAGATGAGACGTAGAAAATGACAGAAAGGGGAGGCAGAGACGGCTCTGTGCTTCTCTTTGCACTCTCACCTGCTCTGAGAAATATAAAAGGTACCAAGGTAGAACACATTAGCTGTCAAACCAACAATACCACACTCTGGGCACCGACTTCTAACAGGCTTGACACAGTCCACACCAAAGGCACAGGAGGCAGAAATGACGAGGAAAAGGAATATAATGTGATAATGGACAAAGCATACTTACTCTTCCAGGAAGTGCTGCTGGGGTCCTATAATGGAGCCCGGCCGGCATATTCTGATCCAGGCAATGATTTCCGCATGTGTAAACCTATAGTGCTTCATTACATAGCAGGCGATCAATGTCCCTGTCCTTCCAAGGCCAGCTGTAAGAGGACAACAGGAGAAATATAAAGCACAGCAAACACAACCATAGATACACTGAATGCCCACCCTGCTCAGAGACTGCACTAGTTTTAAGTATATTGCAAGATTTTTTTTAACCCAGGCAATAAAGTGATGCTTTTTATATGACGTGGTGTTAAAAGAAACTTCTAATGCAAATAATTTAACAGATCGTGTTATCAAATTATGTTTACATATTTTGTTTTATAAGAAAGTCTAGAAATTGGGACAATCTTGAGAAACTCTCAAGTTCATCCCTTAGAGCAGTGGTTCTCAACCTTTCCTAATGCTATGACCCTTTAATACAGTTCCTCATGTTGTGGTGACCCCCTCCAACCATAAAATTATTTTCGTTGCTACTTCATCACTATAATTCTGCTACTGTTATGAATTGAGCGACCCCTGTGAAAGGGTCGTTTGACCCCCAAAGGGTTCGCAACCCACAGGTTGAGAAGTGCTGCCTTACAGGGTGTACACTTCCGAGGTTTGAGGCAGGTCCTCCTGAGCTGC